CGGTAATGTGGGGGTTCCACCGCCTACCTGTGCATGCCTCGGTAATGTAGGGGTTCCACCACCTACCTGTACATGGCCTTTTGCAAAGGACAAAACTAGACCATGGGCTCAGACTGCTTGGCACAGTGCCTGCCAGGGAGCGGGCACTTAGTAACTGGAGGCCGTTGTTTATCAGAGATGTGGCTGTAAACTTTGTGGAAGGTAAGAGGAAAAGGGCTCATTATCCCAGAAAACCGATTTTCCTCCCCTTCTCCTGGGTGCAGCCAGGGATCCTCGGTGTCGGAGAGAAAGCATCGTCAGTCCAGCCCCACAGCAGACATGGAGGGTGTTTGTTACCGCAGCCAAACAGCTTACCTGAAAGGGCCGAGGGGTGGAGTATCCCGTAAAGTTTACCATTGAAACTTTTTAGCCTAAACTGAACTTTGTGAAAGGAATGTGGTATCAGTTTAAGGGTATGATCTCTTTGCAGATAAAGGGCAAAACAATAAACTCTGGAAACCAGTTAGGCCGTGGTGGAGTGGACAGTCTGTTTTGAGAACGAGAGACCCTGACCTATGTGGCTGCTTTCTCACGGAGGGCCTCGGCGCCACGCAGCGGGCCACGTGAGCTGACGCCTGACTGAGCCCTTAAAGCTCCATGTTACAGAGCATGGAGGAAGTCCCCTGATTTAAAAATGTGTTTTGATAACTGTTTTTTTGATAACTGTTCACCATGGTCATAGGAGAGTGCCGAAATGTTCCAGAAACTTCTAGTGCTAAGCAGCTTATCCTCAAAGGATGAGTTTGCTATAAAATATACTCCTACAGAAAAGACTTAAATCAGTCAACTGTATGGGATTATTGATACTGACTCTTAAATATTGGACAGTGTCTAACAAATACATCAGTCTTTGTTGTTCTCCGATTGATTTTCAGCCCTTTCTGCTGACAGTAGGTAGAAGGACCGTTTATCTCTTGGTCGTAACGAGGAGGTTATGGTGTGTGTCCACGCGAAGATCTTCTCAGTGTGTCTCTGGAGGCCCATGTGCAGCTCCTTTCAAAGTTATCTCATGAATAAACACTTTTTTTAAACATAGGAAGAGGAAGGACCCAAACGCCCCCTCTCCTCAGCTTTAAACTCTGTTTTGAACATAAGGATCTTTTCTTGATGTGATGAAGCTCATCTGTTTCAAATCCGTAGCCATTATTGTTCTTAATGATGAAACACTTATGACATCTCATTAAGACCAAGTGCAGAGATGGCCACTGTCACCACTGAGTGTCATTAGTAAGATTATTTGGAAGTTGTGGTCGACACAGTGAAACCTAGAATGGAAACACAGGAACGAGCGCATCAGCGCGCACGGGACGGAACCGCCGTCATTCCCGGACGGTGTGATCGTGTGCCTGCAGAACCGAGAACAAACAGAAAGCAGCTGCAATTGACGGAAAATCTAGTAAAGTGACGAAACAGTATTTGTATGTATCGTACTTAGCGATAAGAAAATATTATGGGGAAAATACATGTATAGTAGCATATTTCCCCCCAGATGCTCTTGAAATAAGGAGCCATGGTGGTGCAGTGGTTAAGCACTCGGCTGCTAACTGAAAGGTCTGGTGGTTTGAACCCACCAGCTGCTCCGCAGAAGAAAGATGTGGCGGTCTGCTTCCGTACAGATTTACAGCCTTGGGAACCCAATGGGGCAGTTCTGCTGTGACTTACAGGGTTGCTATGAGTCGGAATCAGCGTGACAGCGATGGGCACTCTGAAGTATCTCGGAATAGTCTTAATTAGGAATGTACAGGGCTTGTTGGTGAAGAAAACTGTGACCCATTACAGAGAAAAATTAAACAGAGATTTGAATACAAGGAAACATCCTTTGTCTTTGTTTAGAAAAATAGGATATTGTGCAGATGTTCATCTTTACCAAATTGGATTTATAGGTTTAATGCAATTTAAACTGAATCTTCAATAGGATTAAAAGATGGAGTAACTCATTAATTTGGAAAAATAAATTGATGAATATAAGTATAGCCAAGTAAAATTTTTTAAAAAATTGTGAGGGAAGAAAGCCCTCCCAAGTGTCACGAAATGCTGTAGGATGAGTTATTTAAGGCAGTGCAGTGCCGGCGCTTCGTCGGGTTTGATACCCCGGTGTGGGGCCTACTCCGTGTGAGGATGAACATGCAGTGAGGACTCGAGACGGACCTGGGAGGTTAGGAGAGATGACCTAGCAACTGGTCAGTTTTCTGAGAAAACAAGATGAATTATCATCTGTGTCCCATACCAGAGTAACACCCAGATGGACTAAAGCGTAAAATGTAAGCAGCAGCAACAACAAATGCAAACAGAAAATACCTGTGTTCACTCATTCAGCTGCTAATTATCAAGCACCTTTGTGTGCAGGTATTGCTCAGGAGTGGAATGTGAGCCTTCCTGGAGCCTGTGGTCCCAGAGAGACTGTGGACAGGCGGGGCTCCGCTGGGGGAACACTCAGGTGCGGAAGTAGTGGGGTAGCGTGTGACAGATGGTTCTATCTGTATGGGGAATGGGGGGTGATGGGGTGTCGGGGGAAGGCCTTTAAACTGAGACCCAAAGGACAAGCCAGTGTTGGTCAGGTGAAGGTGGAAGGAGGCGAGTCACAGGCAGAGGCCCGGAGGTTAGAGACCACGCTACATTCGAAGACCTAGAGGCTGGGAGGGGATGGAGGTCAGGAGTGGGAGGAGGTCGGGAGGGGGTGGAGGCGGGGAGGGCGTGGGGAGGACAGGAGGGGGTGGAGGCTGGGAGGGGGTGGAGGCCAGGAGCGAGAAGAGGGGAGACGAGGAAACTGGAGCTCTTGGTGGGAATCGGGGCTTCCCAGGCTTCAGTGGCATGCTAAGCAGCTGTACTTCAGCTTGGAAGATATGGGAGTGATTGAAATTAGGGGAGTGCCCTGATGTAGTTTAGAAACCTCGTTGTCCTGCAGTGTGGACAGGGGTGGATTAACCAGTAAGCAGTGGAGCAGTCCATCCCTGAGGGGAGACTAGATGGAGGGAGGAGGGAGTGGGAGCCAGGAAAGCTGCTGCCGTCCAGGCAGAGGTGACGGGCTTGGGCCAGGGGGCTGGTGATGTGGACAGGTTTAGGAGGTAGAACAAAGACGGCTTAGTGGGGAGTTGTTGGTTGTGGGCAAGGAACAGGGTGAAGGAGGAGTACCGGCTAATAAATCAGCTCAGATTGCCCCCTCAGTGGGTGCCCTCTTTAAAACCGTATCTGCCCCCAGTCCCCCGCAGGGGTTTTTATTTCTTTGATTTACGGATATATCTCCAGTACCTGAAAATAGTGATTGGCACATACTAGGTGCTCAGTAAATATTTGTGGAACAGATGACTGAGGGTGACTTCCAGGTTGCTGGTTTGAGCAGCTGGGTAGACGGGGCTGACATTGGCCAATGCTGGGAGTGCGGAGAAGGAGCTGGTGTGGGGAGGGCAGAGGAGGGAGATGATGGGCCAATGGTTTGGTGTGCCAAGAAGCAGAAAATGAATCAGATGGTAAACACCAGACTCGGGGGATATTTGCAACAAATAATGTGGACGTGAAAATCAATCAGAAAACTCACAGCTGCCAGTACATAAATGGCAGAAAACATGAACAGACAATTCACAAAAGATGAAAGATGCAAATACTGAATAAATATTTGAGAAGCTGTTTGGCCTGACTAATGGTAAGGAGTGCAGACTAAGTCAATATGCAGTATTTCTGTCTTTGAATGATTAATGATTTTAAATAATGAGGATCACGTTGGACTGGTGAGAATGGAAATTTGTGCCGATTTTTAGCAAAGGAATTTGGCGGGGTGCCTCAGGCGCCTTAAAATGTTTATAGCTTTTGACCAAATAATTCGACTTCTGGAAATTTATCATGAGGAAGTCCAAGAAAAGCCTCTCCTCTCTCCTGCCATGCGGCCCTCCCCACCTGCCTGCCGTACTCTGACACCATCTTCAGAGAAAGAAGTTCTTACAGAAATAACACCAAAAGAAAGGCTGGGGAGGCAAGGGTGGTGAGGAGAGGGGCTGGTGGATTCTGGGAGCGTCCTAAAAACTGGAAAAGTGCACCACGGAGCTCCCACGTCCAACTCCTTGCTGTTTCTGTTCTGTTTCCAGATGAAGACCGTCAGCGTTGCCTTGGTCTTGTGCCTCAACGTTGGTGTGGACCCCCCGGATGTGGTGAAGACCACCCCCTGTGCCCGCTTAGAGTGCTGGATAGGTAAGTGTGAACTCCTGCACGGCCTGTCGCCAGGACCACCAGGGAGGGCTCTGGGCCGGCAGGGCTTATCCTCTGATGTCCTGGTCCCAGTGTGGGTCTGTCACTGGATTGTTAAACCTGAGGATTTTATTTCTTTGTGGAGTTAGGTGACCTTTAGGTTACCTCAGATGCATTCATCTGTGAATGGTAGTGGGGAAAATGCTTGAAAGAAAATTAATAAAGTAAAATAGTTGGATTATGTCATTTTCTCCTTTGAATTTGCCTTGTATCTGGCAAGTAATCGTAGCTATATACACTTTTAAAAAATTGAACAGATGGTGTTGTATGAAGGGAGAGAAGGTCAGCACACCCCTCACGAGGGCAAGAGGCCCTCAGGCCAGTACAACACGCATACGGTTAAGGCATCACCCCTACTCTGTGGCATCCACCCCCCGTTTTCAGTTTACTTTAACGGGGGAGGGAGAGTGCGGAAAAGGAGGGTGAGAATGGCTGCACAACTTGGAGAAGGTGATCAGGCCCCCTTAACGGCACATGTGGAAATTGATGAATTGGTATATGTTACGTTGCATATGTTTTTAACAACAATAAAGTAAGATAGGTTATTAAAAACAATTGAACAGATGAATGGGGAAGCAAAACATGGTGTATACACCCAATGGACTATTGCTCAGCCACCAAGAGAAATAAAGTCCTGGTGCACGTCACGACATGGCTGAACCTTGACATCATGATGCTGAGTGAAGTCAGTCAGTCACAGAAGGACAAATCCTGTCCGACCTCACTTACATGGAACAGGCAAATAGAAACCACAGCTTTGTGGTGGTTACTGATGGCGACAGGGAGAGGGACGGGGAGTCACTCCTTAGGGGGCACTGAGTTCCTCTCGGTGGTGGTGGAGTGGGTTGGAAGAGCATGGTGACAGTGGCTGCACAATGAAGATTGTAATCAGTGTCACCGAATTGTACATGTAAACGTTGCTGAGTGACAAATGTTTTATGTATATACCAGCATGAGAGTATCTTTATAGAAAAAGTAAATTGAACCTTTCAAGCAAAGCCTCACAGAACATATAACAGATCATCATAATAGCCAGTGTTTATTGAGTGCTTGCAATGTGCCAGGCATCTGTCAAAGCATGTACTTCTCCCAGCACCTGTGCAGTAGGTTTTATTATCACTTCCCACAATGGAGATGAGACAGAAGGACGAGTCATTCGCCCAGGGTTGCTGTGTTAGTGAGTGGCAGAGCTGGGGTCTGCACCTGTGCCGTCCAAGTCCACAGACCGTGTTCTTAACCATTACAGTATACCTGCCTTTTTCTTTTAGCATCAGGTTTATTGAGGTACAGTTTATATACAGTAAACATCACCTCTTTAGGTATACATTTTTATGAGTTTGGACAGATATACACAGTCTTGTGACAAATACCACAAGCAAGGTACAGGATAGTTGCATCACACCAAGAAAGTTCCCTGGGGCCCATTTGTAATCAGTCCCCTCCCTTTCCCCTGGCCCCTGGCCACCACTGATCTGCTTTTTGTGCTGTGGTTTCCCTTTTGCAGAATGTCGTGTAAAGAGAATCCTGTCTTGTGTCTTTCAGTTAGCATAATGCATTTGAGATTCATCCATATCGTTGTAGGTGTTTGTAGCTTGTTTCTTGAGTTCAGTTGGAATAAAAGCACTTACTGATGAAGATCAAAGATTACAGCCTTCAGTATGGATTACACCTCAACATAAAGAAAACAAAAATCCTCAGAACTGGACCGATAAGTAACATCAAGATAAACGGAGGAAAAATTGAAGTTGTCAAGGATTTCATTTTACTTGGATCTACAATCAACATCCGTGGAAGCGGCAGTCAAGAAGTTAAACAACGTATTGGGCAAATCTGCTGCAAAAGACCTCTTTAAAGTGTTGAAAAGCAAAGATGTCACCTTGAAGACTAAGGTGCACCTGACCCAAGCCGTGGTATTTTCAGTCACCTCATATGCATATGAAAGCTGTCCAATGAATAAGGAAGACCAAAGAAGAATTGATACCTTTGAATTATGATGGTGGTAAAGAATATTGAATATACTATGGACTGACAGAAGAACAAACCATCTGTCTTGGAAGAAGTACAACCAGAATGCTCCTTAGAAGGGAGGATGGTGAGACTTTGTCTCACATACTTCGGACGTGTTATCAGGAGGGACCAGTCCCTGGAGAAGGACATCATGCTTGATAAAGTAGAGGGTCAGCGAAAAAGAGGAGGACCCTCGAGATGAATTGACACAGTGGCTGCAACAGTGGGCTCAAACGTAACAATGATTGTGACGATGGCGCAGGACCGGGCAGTGTTTCCTTCTGTTGTATATGGGGTCACTGTGAGTCAGAACCGACTCGATGCCACCTAACAACGACAACATGGACATACTACAATTTGTTCATCCAGTTGATGGAGGTTTGGGTTGTTTCCAGTTTTTGATGATTATGAATAAAATGGCTGTAAGCATTTCGTCTTTGCATGGATGTATTTTCTCTTGGGTAAATCTTTGGGAGTGAGAACCAGGTCATATATTAATAGTATATTTAACCCTTTGAGGAACTGTCACACTGTTTTCCACCATGACTGCCATTTTGTTTTTCCAAGCTGAGTTCCACTTGCTTCACATCCTCACTAGCACTTGGTCCTGTCGGTGTTTAAAGTTTTAGTCATTCTCATTAGGTGTTGATTTGCAGTTCCCTAATGACAATGGAGGAGCCCTGGTGACGCGGTGGTAAAGCACTCGGTTGCCAACTGAAAGATCGGTGGTTCGAGCCCACCAGCTGCTCCGTGGGAGAAAGATGTGGCAGTCTGCTTGCATTAAGATTACAGCCTTGGAAACCCCATGGGGGGCAGTTCTCCTCTGTCCTATAAGGTCACTATGAGTCGAATTGACTCACCGGCATATAACAACAGCGACTAGTGATGTTGCGCATATTTCCACGTGTACATTTGCCACCTGTATATCTTGTCTGCCAAAGTATCTGTTCAAATCCTCTACCATTTTTAAAGAAAATGAGTTGTTTGCTTCTTATTGTTGAGTTTTGAGAGTACTTTACGGTGTTTGAAAACAAGTCCTTTTTCATTATGTGTTTTGCAGATGTCTTCTCCCACTCTGTGGCTTGGTTTTTCATTCTCTTAACAGTGTTTTTCGAAGAGTAGAAGTTTTTGATTTTGAGGGAATCCAATTTATCAAGTTTTTAAAAATGACTTATGCTTTTTTGTGTCTTATCTAAGAAATCTGTCTAACCTGAGGTCATAAAAATTTTCTCCTGTAGTTTCTTTTAGAAAGATGAATAGTTTTACGTTTTACGTTTAAGCCTGTGATTCATTTTGAGCTAATTTTTGCAGTGAAACCTGTGAGAGCCAGAGCTTGACAGGACTGCCTTGTTTTTCTGGGTCTCGCAAGTTTTCTGCCTGACCGGGTGCAGTCTTACCACTTTTCTGGCACTCTCTATTAGTGGGAAATATTTGTGTTTTCCTTCTGTGACAGGTTTCTGCCTTTCACAGGTTTTACTGGGTATGGCCTGAAGTGTGTGTTGAGGTTTTACATACGGGTGTCTGGTTGTTTCCGCACCGTTTGCTGGAGAGAGATCACGCTTCCTCCACTGAGCTGCTTTAGCATCTTTGCGTCTCCAAAGGTGAACGTAGTTCCTGGGTCTGGGCTGCTGGAGGGGATGCTCCTCCCTGAGTTCAGTGTACTTGGCTGTCTTGTGATCTCAGCTCTCTGATGAGCTCGGGAACAGTTATGATGGTGTTGATTATTCAGCTCTGTCTTGTTTAGGATTCGGAGCAACTTTTTGTTGTCCCCGGCTTCCTACATCCTAAGCAAAAGCAGAAGTCCCTTTCACCTATTTTAAATTAACAAAATGTACAGATTATTCTAACCTGAATTAAAAACAAGTCATTTTTCATGCTCATGTGCTGGTCTCACTCTTTGAGGGTATCTCAGGATAGCAGTCTTTACCTTCCCTCCCTGTCTGACCCTGACCTTCCAGGAGCAGTGACAGAGCAGCCGTTGGCTGTGGCCTGTCTCCTGAGGCGCCTGTCTGGCTCACTGCTACCTCCTGGTGACTCTGCTGAATGCAGTCCGCCTCTTATTACCCCCACGGACTGGTTACACCGCGTTCTTCAGGTGGAGTTTCATCTATTTCTCCCCCTTTAACTCCTCTTATGTTGGGTTTGACGGAGCAAGGCTTCCTACCCTGGATCCTGAGTTTTCTCCTACGGATGTGTGAGCCCTTGGGGGTTGGGAGGCTGTCTTTGTCTGAGCACAGAGTTGCACTTTCCATGGAGAAGATCTTTGGTTTTTATTAGATTCCTGAGGGGTCCTTGACTCCCCTCCCCAAACAAAAAGAGCCCTTCCTCACACAGTCTCTGGGATCAGTATTTGCAGGACAATGTCCATGGACACGAAGAGAACCCCTTACTTCCTTCTTAGAGAAGAGATGCAGCAAATGAATAGGTTTTTTTATATTGTGTTATTAAAAGAAAAAAATACAATTTAGGAATGTAGTCTACCTTTTTAGGTTGAAAACTTCGTTTGGTCCTAACTACAAAGTAGGCAGGGCTAGTCCTTGTGACGGCGATGTTTAACAACGCGTTATGTAAAAAAATCTGGACATTGAGTCTGCAAATTTGCAGTGGTACCTAGAAGTCCACGTTTTCCTTTTTTATTTTGAAAAATATTTCAACAGTGTCAAGTATGAGTCCACTGAATCAAGTATGATTCAAGTATGAGTCCACTGAATCAAGTATGAGTCCACTGAGTCAAGTATGATTCAAGTGTGAGTCCACTGAATCATCTGAGAGTACATTGCTGACATGATGCTCCCTTACTTTATCAAGTACTTTATCATGTATTTTCAACAAGCAAAGAGTTTCTCTTTTGTCATCACCAGACAGTCGTCAGAATCTGGAAATTAGCGTTGATGTGTGGCTGCCGTGGAAGCCTCTGACTGTGCTGTCTTTGGCGGTCGTCTCAATAATGCCATTTTTAGAGCAGAAGGTGCTGCTAACATCATGCATTGCCTTTCATTTCATCTCATTCAGTCTGGAAGGCTTTCTTAGCCTCGCCTTGATGCTCATGACCTCGACACCTTGGAAGATTCTGGGCCCTTTATTTTGTTGAACATCCTGATGCTTCCTTGTGATTGAATTTAGGCTCTGCTTCCTGGCAGGATGATACAGAGGAGAGCTGCTTTCTTCATGTTGCAGCATATGAGGTGGCACGTGATTCTGATTTATCCCATTACTGGTGATGCAACTCTTTTATCGCTTGATTAAGTTGGTGCCTGCCAGACTTCTCCACTGTAAATTACTCTTTACACAGTGGTTAGTAAGTATTTTTGAGAAGAGGTACATTGAGACTATGTAAATATTCCTTTCCTCATCAAACTTTCATTTTATTCACCCT